CTCAGATAGCCAAAAAGGGGGGCACTCCATATAGAAGTACACTCTGTGTTAAAGGAGGGGACCTGTTCATCCCCCAGAAGTCCTGGCGTCCCTCGCCAAGCTGGGGCTTCAAGATAAGCTCTTTGTTCTGAGTCCTTAGCCTTGCCACCCAACTCAGGGTCTCCTCTAGAACCTCCGGGAATCTGCCTCATAGCTTAGTTCCAGTGCCCAGGGCTTCCCTGCCTTCTAGGAAGCCCCACTGTGGTTATAAAGGAAGATGGTAGCATGTCAGAAGCAAGATGTCCCCACCACCACCCCGCTGTTCCAGGACCCTCGGGGGTCTCGCTGCACACAGGTTCAGGCTTGCTGGGCACCTTAAGGGTTAGCCACACCCTGCTTGTCAAGCTGCTCCAAGAACATCTCCAAGAGTATCTATCACTCTGCAGACTCGACTGTGTTTCCTGAGAGCCTTCCAGGGTCACCCAGCTCAGGACACACCTCCATGCCGGGGCTCATCTCTCCCAGCTGTCTGAGCTAGCACGCGGGGCCTCGCCAGTCATCAGGGGCTTCCAGAACTCTCCTCCTGCTGCAGTCCTCACAGGCCTGTCTCTGTGCGCCCTGCCCTGCCAATCCTCCAGCCTCAGCTCACACGTCTCCCTGTGCTAGAAGGCCAGGGTTCACATCATGCCCTCCAGGAAGCCTGCCATCCCCGTTTCCTGCTCTAAAACCCCAAGTAGCGTTTAGTGTCTATGGATGCAGAAGGGCAAGGGGTTGGTCTGAGGAGACGAGGCTGTCCCTGGAGAAGGGTATAAGTGTATATGAACGGGGCACATTCTGGTACCAGGGAAGCGGGCTCCTGGAGAGTGGCATAGAGAGCCTGCTCAGGTCCCTCTGGATGCCTGGTGTCTTAGTCGGGGCTTCCATTGCTGTGAAGAGACACCGTGGCCGAGGTGACTCTTATAGAGGAAAAACATTTCATTGGTGAGGGGCTTACATTTTCAGAGGTTCTGTCCATTGTCATCAGGTGTGACATGGTGGCGCACAGACAGACATGGTGCTGGAGAAGGAGCTGAGAGTTCTATATCTTGCAGGCAACAGAAAGTGGTCTGAGACACTGGGTGGTATCTCGAGCTTATTTAAGACCTCAAAGCCCACCTCCATAGTGACAGACTTACTCCCCACACCTCCTAATAATGCCACTCCCTTTGGGGGGGCATTTTCTTTCAAACCACCACACCTGGTGAGCCAAGACAGCACTCTGCTGCAGCAGCCAGCCTCCTTCTGAAAATGAGCTGAGATGTCGCCCCCCCCCACACCCCAGGGAGCTCACACCCTAGACTGTCAGGTATGGCCTTCTGTCCTGCCACCCCAGGCCTGCCTCTTGTGAAAGAGATACAAGCTTATTCCCACTCACGGCAGGGGTGGCACAGCGGGACCTGTGGTTCAGGCAAAGGAAATGAGGAACTACCCTCCGTCCCATGGGTCTCTGACTAAGTTCTTCTCGCCGACGGGAGAGCACTCTATCCTTTGGGTTTTGAGACAGTCTCTTTCCATCTCTCTCCTCTTCTGAGAACCAGAGGTGATAGGAACTGGACCCGGGAGTTGGGGTGGGAAGGGTTCCTGAGTGGATCTAGCAAGCAGTGTCTACTAAGCTGCAGCTGGAACTAGCGTCAGGCATCCATCTGTGAAGTGACTGGGCCTCTGACTGTTGGAGGGGGCATTCCCAACAAGATCAAACACACAGTCCATCAGTAAGAACAGTCATGATTCCATAGAGAGAGAGGAAAGCCTACTTGCACCCCAGTGCCCCAAGTGGCTCCCTGGAGGACAGTCTGCAGACCCTGCTGCCATGCTTCTTGAAGACAAGGCCCCGTACTGCCCGTGCGCTAATGGAAAACAGAGCAGACCTCAGAGAGCCCTGTTATGGACTCCCTTCTGGCCCTGAGGACGCCTCTCATGGTAAGATGCACCTGGTGCTGGGTCACAGTGTGCCGGCTAACTCCAAGGAACAGCCAAGGGACTGTTTCTCCGTGGTGCTCTGCCAGTTGACCCCCATCTGGTCTAGGTGGTAGGCAGACTTCCCATGATCCCAGCTATACCAGCTGACTATCCTCCAGCCGCCGTGAGTCCTCTTTGAGAGTCTGAGATGCTGAGTGTCTATAGAAGAGGTCGTGAGTGTGGCCTCAGGCTGTATAGGGACTCAGTGTCCCCAGGACTTTCTACCCTACTTGGGTAGGATGTGGGGCCCTGTTTGGACACGGTAGAAAAGGGTGCAGAGGGACAGCTCTCTTTTCCCGCCTGCTTAATCTTGGGGTTTTATCATTTGGGAGCAAGGGAAAGACATGTTTACACGGCATTGCATTTGTTTCAAATTATTCATCAGTGTTGGCGAGTCATTGTTCCCCGCTAGTATAAACAGCCCTGTCCCAACAGCACAGCCACCCTGCCAGATCACTGAGGGCCTGTGGATGCCTTATGTCAACTACCCTGGTTCCTAGCTTTTGGTGAGGTGCAGAGCTGGGCCAGGCCAGATGCCTGCGGATGGGTGGCATTCAGGCCAAGGCTGCATTTCTGCCCCATGCAGGGCACTGGAGGGTGCATTTGTGCTTTGTTTGTCTTGCAATGGAGACTTGGCCTGAACTAGAGTCTGGGAGCCAAGAGAGAAGCAGTGATGCATGGCAGCAAGCACACCTGCATCTCAGGGTCAGGGCTCACAGTCAGCTGTGTGCAAAGACGCAGGCACAGGCACCTACCTCTCTCCGTGCAGTTGAGTCAGACATAGGACTCAGCCCAGAGACAATCACTCTCTGCATCCGCAATGTTCACGGACTGCGTCTTATGGGTTTCAGGAGTGTGTGTTTAAGTTGATCTCAGACTCAAGCTCAGGAGGGAGCAGGTTCTGAATGTTTTGGGCACAGCCAGCCAAGCAAGGTATCTGTGGGCTCTTGCTCTGGGGTTCTGGTCTTAAGGTGAGTTCTACCTTCACTCTGACCTACTGCGTGGGCCACCCAGGTCACATCAGCTTGCTGAGTGTCCGATGACCAATGGATGTCATGCAGTTAGTAACATACCCTATCACATGAGCTGCTGAGGTCCTAGTGAGGACCCTCAGTCCACAGGAAGCGCCCAGGATGCTGGCTTCCTGTTGCTCAGGTGACCAGACAGTGCCCAGGGCAGACCCTCCTGCAACTTGAAAGATGTGCTTTGGGGTTCACCAAGTGAAGGTACTCCATGTACTTTGGGGTTCACTAAGGAAAGGTGAACTGGACCAGCAGGAAGCCATCAACAAGACTGTAGAGAAGGCTATTCAACGAGTTAGCAATGCCTCCAGTCATCCTCACCACCGCCCCCACCCCCAACCCCTGCGGCTGCCGCACCTCCCAAGTCAGTCTCTGGGCCTGCTGCTCCTCTCAGCAAGAGCCACCTTTACGTGTGAGCTGCAACCTTTGGTGGCTATTAGAGTTGAAAGATCTGTTTCCCTCCTCTGACAGCCACACGGCTGACATTTGAGCTTGCCGGAGAATAATGATGCTCCACGCTGTGGGCCTCAAAGGCAGCCGTGCGGTCTCCTGGGTGGTAAAGTGGTCTGCAGCCCTCGAGCCTAAATAGGACCCAGCTGACAGTGCTGAAGAGCCAAGCTGTCCCCGGTTCAGTGCAGGTCATCGCCTGCCTCTACCTTTTTTCCCCCCTCACATCCTTTTGGTCTCTATAGCAAAAGATGTCTGTGTTAAAAAGCATAGGAAATTTACAGTGCCAGCGATGTGTGCACGTATGCATACAAAGGAAATGTGTGTGTGTGTGTGTGTGTGTGTGTGTGTGTGTGTGTGTGTGTGGTGTCTCTGTGTTTGTGTCTCTGTGTGTGTTGGAGCCTGGGGATTGGCTGGGCACAGCCAGTAGCTCCATACGCACATTGCTTTGTGGTTTTATGTATTTGCCTATTAAAATGACAATACAGCCATGGAACATTAAGGTTTAAGAAGCCCTTCTTTCATTAAACAAACCGACAGAGTAGGGGGTTATGACTCTGGTAATTGAAACATGCTGTTCTGCTCAGGACCGGAGCTCCCTAAAGGCCCTTTCAGCCAGTCACCCCCTTTGTGCCAGCAGCCTCTGGTCAGAAGTGAGCATCGGCCCTGAGCCGGTGCCTCCCGCAGAGTGGGAAAGACCTCTTGGCAGCCTTCCCCGGCAGTCCTGGCAGCCAGAGGTCAGGGTCTTTTCAAATCTTCCCCTCACCCTCCTAGCTTTTGAAATCAATCTGCCAAGCTGAGACCTTCAGGGTGGCGCAGGCTGCCTTGACCTCCAGCCTCCCCCTCAGGGCTCCAGGGCCTTGTGCTGTCAGCTGGAAACCCGAGGTGGGTTGAAGAAGTGGAGAATGGTGGCTGCGGTTAGCTGAGCTCCGTGTTAGGGAGACACTTCAGTTTGCACCGTCATCCTGGGGAGAAGAGTCTGGTGGTAAGGCCAGGCTTGGGAGTTAATGTGCTGGGTCTAAAGGCTACCCCTGTCACTTCCCATGTAACCTGGCACAGATTCCTCGTCTATAAATGGGCTAACACCTGCATCTGATAGGGTTGGTGCAAGGACCAGAGTTAACATAGGAAAGATGCTTAGAACTGTGCTAGGCACCCAGGAATCAGTCATGACCCTCCAGCACTTGTAACTGACTACTTCTGGGGTATATTGGGGCGTTCTATTGTGGGGGATTACTATGGAATACCATGGAGTGTGCCTGTGGAGTACTATGAAATACCTCTGGAGTACCCCCATGTCGTAAGTACCCTTTGAAGTACCATCGCAGCACGGTGCCGTGAGGTACCCCGTGTAGTACCATCACGGCACAGTGCCCTGGAGTACCCTGTGCAGGACCATCACAGCACGGCGCCATGCAGAAGACCATGACGTATTTCCGTTGTACAGCACCTCTGTGGAGACCCTTCATTAACCAACGGAGAACTGGATTGTGTCTGTGACCCACTAGCTCCAGGTGTGACGTCTCCTCTCCCCTTCTCTCCCTCTTCTCACAGATGTGGATGAATGTCAAGACAACAATGGCGGCTGCCAGCAGATCTGCGTCAATGCCATGGGCAGCTATGAGTGTCAGTGCCACAGCGGCTTCTTTCTCAGCGATAACCAACACACCTGCATACACCGCTCCAATGGTAAGTACAGCCTATGCTGACCAGGCGTGCCTCCCAACCCTGCGGAAACAGACAGGCGGCCCTCTCCACATGTGGATTCCAGAAGCCTCAGGGTCGGGGTAGGGGCTCTCAGTGGCGATCTCCTTGGCCATCGTGTGTTACCAGTGTGGGTCTTTGTAGAACTATTTCTATTGCTTCCCTCTGCCAACTGTTGGTATTTCTCCTGTCTGTATGTGGTGGGGCTGAGACCCCATTGAAAAAGGCTGTCACATTATATATCTCCATAAGCCTCTAGCACCCACGATTATCTGCTTCCTGTTCCTGGGTTACCAGCCTGCTGAGGGACCGTGATGAGAGCCTGCGGCCCCTGGAGGCCAGGTGGGATGGGGTGACTCAGCAGGCTGAGGCTAGATGGACTGAGCCAAGCCCAGCAGATGAAGGTTCTTGGTGTCAGGGCACTGATGTTCCGATCCTGGAGGGTTTTGAAGCTTGGGCCCACGGCAGCAGGACTGTCAGAAGCCAACACGTGTGGAACCTGGACTGAGTGAACAGCAATAGCAAAGACGTAGGCTCATCAGCCGCTATGCAAGCTCCAGATCCCAAAGCAGGGCTGTGTACTACTGCAGAGAGGCCTAGCAAGACAGGGCCAAGAGCCAAGGCTCCCGGGGTCAGGCTGTCCTGTTATAGTCAAGGCTGGAGATGTGACTTTAGCTAGAACAGCCTGCTGTCCCGTCTCCATGTCTGACCTTTGACAAGGAGGGAAAGCTGGAGATTTGCCAGGGAAAGATGGGCAAAGAAGGCTCGTGCTGGGCTTAGCTCCACAGAGCCCAGGTGAGACCCTAGCTCCTCCATCCCTTCCCAGGGCCACTCTTCAGCAAGCTCCCCGTATGCCTGGAGCCTCAGCCTCCTCATTCACAAGACAGCAGCCCTGGCACTGAGCCAGCTGGGTGTCTGGAGCTACAAGGAGAAACTAGTATGACCTGCTGGTGTTCCATGGGGCTGCCAGGGGTGGTGGAGTGGGATTCTAGGACACTGTGTGTGGTTTCTGCTAGAAAGTGATTCCTGGGAAAATAAAAAGGAAAAATACATTTGAAGACAGTAAACCAGAAGTATTCTAGTAGTTTCTTAGATTGCCTGGGTTTATTTTGGCAATTTCCACACAGGCAAGTCTGGTGCACTGGCCCCTGGCACTACAGTGTCCCCAGCACATGAAGGCCAAACTTAGTGTTTCCTGGACATTTGCTCCAGACACCAGAGCTACCACACACAGGTGGCCTCAGGAAGACAAGTGCTTATCTTGTTCCTAATCCTACCTAGCTATGGTGCCACTGGACAGAGCTGTCCAAGATGGTGGCAAGAAGGTGTAATTGAGGACCTGAGTCCCCAGGGACCATAAGAAGCAGGTTAGTGAGCCAGACAGGAAATGCATGTGGCAAGGCCCTGAACTCTGCCTATGTTGGGGATGAGGGTTCTAGGAGGAACTTCCAGTCACGTTCCAGGAGGTTTTGTCCCCACCAGTACATGCTCATTTCCTGCCTTTGGAGAGAGCATCGGGTGGGCTGTGGTGAGGCCGTGCCTCTAGTTGAGTGTACGAGGAAGAATGGACGGCAGGATGTAAAAGGGCAGCTATAGCTGGTCCGATCTGCCTTGTCGGCCTCTGCTGGGCTGAGAGGTTACAAATTTCGGTGTTTGCCTCAGGAGACGGGTGAGAGGAGGTAACAACCCCGGGGTGAGCAGGGAACTGCTGCCAGGGCACAGGCCTGAAGGCCACACCACAGAGCGCTCATAGGAGGCCGGGTGTGACTCCACTGACAAGGGAGGAAGCAAAGTTAGAGAAGCAGAGTTGGGACTGGAGCCAAGAAGCACTCGCTGTAGCGGTTCTGTTCAGGTCATAAGGCCTGTCAGAGAAGAAGCAGGTGGTGGGACAGTGGCCAGAGCTGAAGGCCTCTGTGTGGAAGCCATGACGGTACCGAAATCAAATGATGTAAAAGAGCCGTATGAAAGTCTGAAGTCGCTAGGCCAGGTACGCGGACAGAGGCCTGGCAGTTTAGGAGCCAAGACTGGATGGTGGAGAATATGATAGGCGAAAGGAGAGGAGCCCCAGGAGGGGAGCTGAGGGTCCTGGGGCATGTGGGGGAGGTATGGAGAGGGGTTTGTCTGCTCTGAAGAGAGTAGCCATAGAATACTGGCGCTTGGAGGGGGGTCGGTGACAGGAGATGACTCTTAGGGGGATTTAGGAACTCTAGAGGCTGGGAGTGGAAGAGTTGTGTCTTGGCTGGTATTGGGTATAGTCTTGGACACAGTTCATCCCACCCAAAAGCTCCCCTGGATTTTTACAAAGCTAGGAATACAGAGTTGGCCAAAATCTAGTTGTAACACTTCATCCCCAGTCTCTGTTGACTGACAGGTGGTTGAAAGAGGTCGCTTTCCTTATTGGGAACGTTGGCTGGAATCTCTGGCTTCTCTAAGCTGGGCTATGCAGCCAATCCAACAGCTCATGGGGATCTTCTGGAAGCCCATCTTGCAGGGCAAACGGCAATGCGCTGTCCAGGCCTCCAGACCGGAGGAAAGTGTGCACAATGCCCGGGAGATGGCAGGACACGCGATCCTGGGCAGGCAGGTAGCCGACCTCCTGAAGCATACATAGTCTGTGGTTGTCACAAGTGCCCCCTGTAGCATCAGCCACAGTGATGAATCTTACCGCTCAAGAATCAGAGCCTGCCTGGAAGTGCCAGGACGGAGCGCCTCGCCTCCCAAGTGGCCTCCTGACTGGCTAATTCCTCTCCAGATCTCTGGAATCCCCCTTGTAGCATGATCCATGAAAACTCAGAGACAGATATTGGGATTCAACCTGAAAACCAGAAAAGCAAAGCAGCTAGCCAATGGCTCTTACTTCGACCTCAGTCCGAAAATGGGGGTCCTGCCTCAAGGAAACCTCAGAATGAGACTGAGACTCAGAGCTGTCTCCTCCCATTTTATAATCCTCTCTAGTTCTGGGATTAAGGGCTTGCACCACTACTCCCCAGTTCCTATGGCAAATGAATGTGTGTCATTGTGGCCATTGGCATTAAAGGTGTGTGTCATTGGTGCCTAGTCTGTAAGGCTGGCCAGTGTGGCCATTTTACTTTTCTGATCCTCAGACAAGCTTTATTTATTAAAATACAAATGAAATGCCACTACACCCCCTACCCACCCACCCAAAGCACAGACCTGTTTTGATTAGATGCCTGCAGGGCCAAGGTCAGTCTGGGCTCCTGGCCCAGAAGGGAGGCCTCGAAGCTAGGTACTTCTGAGTAGCCTGGCTTCCCAGGCAGCATAAACCCTGGCCTGAGGCTTATGGATCAGGCCCAGGCTGGATTGGGAGCAATAGGCCCTTGGCTTCAGAGCCCCTGGGGCCTCTGCTGTCACTTCTGCCTCTTTGGGTCCTTTGGCTATTAAAACAACAACAACAAAAACAACAAAAAGCCCTTAAGGGAAAAGCTTTGAAGCACCCAATGTAAAACCTGCCCTAGGGGCCAGTTAATTCCTTCTGGTCCCCAGAATTTGGGCATGGCTTGACTTGACACTGATGATACTCAGGCTGCACTGGATGAAAAGGGACCCTGGGGCTGTTGGATCTGGCTAGTCTCTCTGCTTAGCACTTCCTGGTAAAGGCTTTAGTGTCCTGACAGCCCACAGGCCCACCTCTGCTCAGCCTCTGGCCCAAGTGCTAACAAGGCCTCCTCTGACCTTCAACTCCTCCTCTGGCCGTCAGCCCAAGGGCCACTCCAGACTCAGCCCAGCCTCTGCTATTACTAGGCCAGCCACAGGCCTGACTACCCAGAGGCTAACATGCTGGGCTTCCTACCTCTCCCACCCCTCCCCTTCCAATCCTTAAAGTATGTCAAGTTCATGCTCCACGAAGATATGTCCTCATGGATGGTTTTGCCCTTTTCCCCAGCGAAGTGTTATCTCCTCCAGTCTAACCGACACTGGCTGGATGTGGAAGGGCCTCTGAAGGCCACAGACTCCAACTTTTGTGAAGAAATGTTACTCTGTCATCTCCCCACTCACCGATCCAGTTCATTGTTCCCAAGCCTGGTGCCTTCGGATCCTAGGTTGGGGCCATTTGATTTTCTTTTTCCAGTCTAGGAAAAGATTGACTGTGAAGCCCTCTATGACTATGAGCTGGGACAAGCGCCTTGGGGATTCTGCAGATATGTTTTTCTCACCTGAGGGGTGGCCAATCGAGCCATCATACCCACGGTCACCTCATTGACTATGATGGCCTAATCATGAGTCCTGACCACCCCTGGTGGCCAATGGGGTGTGACATTAAGGTGCACCTGCACCCCTGGTAGCCAGTGGGGTGTGACATTGAGGTGCACCTGCCTCTTGTGCAGAAAACTGTTCCGCAGGGCTGTGCTTTGAGTCTCACTAGACACCTGCCATGGTCCAGCCTTGGCAGGGGCTGAAGGCAGTAGAGTGAGAGGAAACCACCTTGTAGGAAACAACACAAGCTCACAGGGGGTTTCAGAGCTGCATGTAGCCAAGCCTCGCCCTAGCCCCCACCCCTTTATTTAGATTTGAGATGACTCTCTGCTGTGTTGTCCATGTTTGCTTCATGCTCGTAGACTCCAGTGGTGGGCTAGCCTGGGCCTCGGAGCAGCTGACACTAAAGCTGTGCCTGTTCTAGCTGGTAGCTAACTCAAGAAGGAATGAGCAGTCCAACAGGGTGCGGGTGGGGTAAGGAAGGAGCCCGGGGAGAGCAGGAGTTTGCGGTGGGAATGAGATAACTCGGGGCTAGTGAGGTCATCTAGCCATGGACCAGTAGCCACTGAGCTGGAGAAACAGCCTCGGGCTGCTCTGATGATTAAAAAAAAAAAAAAAAAAAAACTCAGAACCACTGGCCAGAGTGTTCCACAGGTCTCTCTGCCATTTTTCTGGAAGAGTGTCAAGGAAAGTCCTCAGACACCCCTGTCCTCCAGTGCCATCTGATCAAGTCGGACCAAAGCCTGACAGAGTGGGTACCAGTGTTTACC